ATAAATGACATGCATTAGACATGGTACGTGGAACTAAAACAGTCTACTCCAGTGAGCGAAATAAAGGGTCCAGTTCGACATTCCAACTACCCGAAGAAGGTTGAATTAGTTATATCACCTAAGCCTTGAGTTTAGCTGAGTTGTACTCCTTATCGTTTCTGTTTCCTAAATAACTTGAACAGAAGATAAGCTGGTTCGGAAGATAAACAATAATCGATTTTAAAAATATTAGACCGGTCGGTTATATGAAAGACTTTGTAAAATATTATCTAAGATCATATCACTTAACGCCTAAAACCAGAAGGCTTTGGTGCCATATACATTTTCATTATTTCAGAATTGGCCGACGTTGAAGGATAATCAACAAAATGTATAGTATTTTGACATACAAGTTTCAATCAAAAAGCAAAACTTCTTTAATTACAATAAACTAAGTAGCAGAACGCTTGAAAATGAGCCCCAAAATCTGAGAAATCCAAATCTATGATTCAATATCATCTGCTTTCTTTTCAATCACAGTATTTTATCATGGAATAAGAGCATATAAATCTGCCACATAGTAGTTTCTTAGCTACCTTATAAGCTATATATGAGAAACGGACTTAAATTAGAGAACTGCAGTTCTCTAAATGGTGTATGGGTTGTGCAACTGTAGTAGAAGCCCTTGCGTAGCAACCGCTTTCTGTTCCTTCGTGTATTCTGGAGATCAAATTTCCATATAACTTTGCGTAATATAGAAATGACAGAAAATTGTATATACGATTTTGTATCACTACCAGCTCTCAAGAGTGATTCTTGCTAGTTGTAACGAAAATATCTGAATATTTGGCCATATCTCTATTCACACCAACAGCTTACTTGCCACTGCGGGGTCTGTCACTAAGAACCATTTCTCACAAAGATCGCTACTAAATTTACATGCATAACATACTGCTGTACCCAAAGATTTCCTCTCAAAATTAATTAATTGCTTATGAATGTTTCCAATATGTCCGCATTCCCAAATCAGAAATTCTATGACAGAAGTCTGAATTTTACGCGTGTCTAGAAGAAGAGCCATATTGAAAAGGCAACAATCTGTGAAACGCCTTGGTTTCTGGAAAATTTATAGAATATAGCGAAAAATAAAACTAGGAATTAAATATTCTGTGGTCATACAAAATTTTATTAGGGCTTTACACACGGTCATTTTAAAAGTATATATACATATACAGAAAATATATTAAAACCAATGGGACAGTGAGCGATGACAAGAAAAGGTAAAAAAAAACTATTACTACTCGTAAAAAATGGATTGAAAAATATAATAAAAAATGAAACAAGAAAGAGCTAACGAGTTATCACAGCATTGCTCTTCACAGCTCAATTGTGGATAAAACATGAACACGTGCACAAGACAAAAAAAATCTGATTAATCCATTTAAGATTAAATTACAACAAGCATTACATTTTGACTGACTCTCGGAGTATAAGTTCTTGCAAGTTATGATCGTTGATAGTATACGGGGTTTTTAATGAGAAGGATAGTGACTTGACCTAGACAGTTTTCTCAAATATTATATAAAATGTCTCGCAAGAAAGGCTTCAACAAATAAAACTTCAATCCATAGTAATAAGAGAAAAGCATAAATTAAATGCTTGATTGTGCTCGGAAATTGATGTTGTCTAAATAAAGATAAAAATCTCATTTGTATAGATTATTGAAAAGAATAAGTGAAGTAAGCCTTCATAAATGTACTGCATTAAGTTAATTTACCTCTATTTCCGCTATAGGGTGTGACGCGTAGATATAAATTGATACATACACAACGCAATTATTATATAGTAGATATCCGATAGAATTTAAAATAATTACTGGAACTGAGAAAATGTATTTGTAATGAATAAATGTAAATTTGTAATGACTATATCAGTGAGATCGAACATCTGTAGGTGATTAATAATTCTAACTTTAAATTTAGTTAATATTAAATAAGAAAATACCACTTGAAACGACTATTTTCTTTTTTGAAGTTATAACCCCTTTTACCCCTCTCTTGTCCCTTCCTTATTTTTTTTTTTATTTCCTATTTTTCGTTTCTGTCTTTCTTTAATATATCTATTACTTTCTTCTTCTCTTTGTTTATTCTCAGTCGTTCGCATTTTCTTTCTTAGGTTCTATCATCTGTTCTCTTTTTGGTAATGACTTTCGTTCTTGTCTGTTTTTCTAATTTGCTTTTTTTTTAAATGTTTCTTTCCTTTTCCTTGTCTTTTTTTTTTTCGAGTCTCACTTTTGTTTCTGGCTTCCTTCCTTTAATTATGTCCTTCTCTTTCTTTTACTTATTGCTTCCATTTCTTTTTTTTTTATCGTATTTGTATCTTTTTCTTTCGTTTATCCTTTTTTTTCTTTCGATGCTTGTTTCGATCTTTTTTTGTGTGCCTCGTTTTCCTTTTTTTCCTCATCTTCTTTTATATACTCTTCACAATTTCTTTTACTCTCTTTCTTGGATTTACGTTCTTTGTCTATTTATTTCTTTTCCAAAACCGTCTTTTCTTTTCTTTATAATTGTCTTTGCTGTTCGTCTTATGTTTTTCATCTTCTATATTCTTTCATCATTTTCGTTTACATCATCGTTCTTTATTTTTCTTTCTTTTTCAATTTCCTTTCTGTTGCATAAGTTTCTTTTTTTAATATTTTTGCTTTCTTCTTTCTTTTTCACTGTCATTTCCACACAGGCTCTTCATTTCCTCTAAGAGATTAACGTGACAAACAAATCGATGTAATCTGACGTCACGAATATTGACTAGAATAATTATCAAGTAATCAAAATTTAGTTCATAATTTTCATTAGATTGGCTGACCGATCAATGTGTTTTCCATTGCCAGCTAGGAAAATCATTGGTCGTCAATATTGCTTTATTGGTTTTAGAGTTTCCCTTTCAAGCACAAAATATATTGCAAAACACATGTCAATAATATCTTTATATGACAAACTCTTTTCGTGGTAGTAAAATCTTGAATATAATCCATACTTTTTCAGTAACTATTCTCTTTACCAGGCTCGTATAACAGATACGTATCAAAAGCAAACATACCCATTGTCATTTTTCGTCACTAGAAATGTCCCTTTTTAATCGTCAGAATTGCTGGTCCATTAATAAACGCGCAGAAAACCTTAAAATCATTATTGTTACTGTGAATATGGTGTTATCACTCAATCTAGAAATTAAGGAAACCTAAATGTATCACTGTATGATGCGCGACCTACAACCTCAGACGGATGACTGATGTCATCAGTCGTCTGTGGAGAGCAATTGAACTTCCAACATTGCAGAGGCTATCGATGTAAGTCACAGAATAACTGTGCGGTATCTCTATAGATTTGATGATCAGGAGAGGGCATCTAGACACAAGCCTTTTTTGCTTAAGCCAAAATTGAGAAAATAAAAAGTAGCATGTTTAAGGATTTGTGGCAATGTGTAATCATTAAAAACAAATTGCCCTTTGCCCAATTCTCTGCAAGCAGGCGTATATGAGTCGAGAGGCAGAAGTCATGATCTGGGGAGCGATTTTCATCATCGGTCGCTCAACCTTGTTAAATTACACTGTCAACATTAATGCTGCAAATATATATTTCAGTCCTTCAGGAAGGACATCTCCCCATATTTTACGTTCGTCCGAATTACAAGCGCCACCCATTTTATGCAAAACCTCGTTACATGCCATGGTGCAAAGCTAATCTGAGCGTAGTTTGGCAAAGTGGGGTTAGAGTTACACCATGGGCAAGTCAATTACCGATTTTAAATTGACTGAACCTGTCTAGGTCTTATTAGATATATAACTGCGTAAGAAATGGGTGGGCGGGACTCTGCTTCACGTTGCGTTTTGCTTCGACCCCTGCATTCAACTTTTGCTATATTCCCCAGTAGAAGAATGCACAGTTTGTTACTTCTGACAAGATGAAGGCACTGAAGTTCGATAAGGGAGCGTCGAATACATATTAAGGATTGCATCTGTTAAATAAACAATGTCCTGTAAACTATTTACATTATTCGGACTATTGTCCTCATCTTTGTTGCCATATTTATCACAACGTTTCGGCCGTTGTACGCTCCGGCCTACTTCAGGTGGTTGGAATATCGAACTGAACTTTTTATATCGTTCGCTGGGGTAGACTGTTCCATGTGCCCACAAGGACACATGGCAGAATGGATAAAGTCGTTAGATATATCCAGTGACAGAACCCAAAAACTGAGAGTTCAGTACCTGGTTAAGACGGCGGAGAACTCAGAGAGGGGAGATAACTGATAACTCACATTTATTAGACATGGCACGTGGAACTAGAACCCCAGCGTGCGAAATAAACGGTTCATTTCGACATTCCAACCACCTGAAGAAGGCCTGAGCGTACAACTGCCGAACCTTTGTGATAAATATGCCGATGAAGACAATAGTCTGAATAATGTAAATAGTGTTCATAATACCTCCTCTTAGAAATATAGACGGTCCCGTAAACTCTAGATTGCCGATTACTCTTGATTTCCAAATTTGCTGAATGTCTATTTACATCTGATATGACTGTAACACTATGACGATGCATTAATTATACGATTCTTCAGTCATTTTGAGAGATGTGTCCGCTTTAAATATTTTTGCTTCAATATATATATATATAAACATATGTCACTTATAGGATATCCTTAAGTAAAAGCCAAAATTCCTAACCTATATTCCTTAGCGCTATACCAGCAAGTCCATTTAATTAAACAGATAAAACACAGGAGTTCAAATCCGCATGGCGTATAATTTAATAGGAATATAATTGGTTTGAATTTAAGATTAGAACTATATCTGTAGTTTATGCGGATTTACTTATTCGATTCAGAAATTTCTAATAGAAGTCCTACCAGGATTCATTATTGATAGTGACAATCTCAAAAGGATATGCAAATGGAACAGTGTCGATAGCAGATAGAGAAAGGAAAATACAGGAATGCCAACAGAAGGTATTGAAGCAAAGCTAAAAGAAAGGACTAATCATCAATTGTAAAAAAAATAAGATAATGTATATTTGTCAGCAAAAGGAAAATTGAAATATCTAGGAAGTTATTTAACAGAAGACAGGAAATTGCCTTCCAAAAGCTAAGCATAGTATTAAGAAATAGAAAAATTTCGTTAGAAACAAAAACGAATGTGTTCCGCTTTAGCGTGTGTCCTACCAAACAAGTTTCTATTTTAGTGTGTATCCTACAACTACATGTGCGTCCTATATAATTAAGGCATTGTAAATATATTTTACCGATCAGTTTCTGTTTTATTGTGTATCATACCACTATATTTGTACCCTACATTATTAAGGCATTGTTCCGACTTTCTCGTTATGTTAAAAGACATTCATAATGTTTTTATTTAAAGATTTCAAATATCTTTTATAAATTTAATTACATTTCTTATTTTAAATTCTATAATACAACAATAATTGGCATCTTTCCTTCTCTTTTTTTTTTTATTTCCCCTTATGTTAGATAATGTAGGATACACGGCTAAGCGACACCGAAAATTGTAATGAATCGTTGTGCAATTTGAGGCAAAACAAATGTTATTCTACAGAAAGATGCTGAGAATCACATGGACCGAACATGGTAATAAGGAAAAAGTTTTGAGGAAAATGCAAACAAAGAGGCACCCGAAAGAAACAATTGAAATGTCTAGAGCATATGATGAGCAAAGTGGGTTTGAATAGTTTAACACTCACAGGTCATATCGAGATCAACAGCGACAGAAAAAAGCAGCGAATAATCTACCTATCAAACTTTATTAAAATATTGGCAGAAAACGGATTAAGGGAGACATCAAAGGAAGAAAACTTGATGAGAACTAAAAAGGACAGGAATTCGTCGAGAGCCATAATCGCCCGGAACCTGATGGAATAGTGCATATAAAAGAACTAGCAGCATGGCCCGGCGTTGCCCGTGCTTGATTTTAAAATCGTACGACTCGTACAGCAATCGCTATCACTTGACGTAAAATATTTTTGTCCTTCCCTGCCTTTAAAGGAGTGCCCTTTGCCGTGATGATGTTGCTACACGCCTTACTTCTTGCCTATCTCACATTGCGAATTTTTTCTAGTCTCTATACTAAACATTAAATCTGTTACGAAAAAAGAACTAAACAAAATAAACACAAAACGATCAGCTTTAAAAAAGGCCTCGTAACTGGAAAAACCGAATGAAAAAAGAATGTTAACAACAAATAATTTTTTTACAACCAACCCAGTTCTGCGGAATCAGAATCAACGTTGAGTTTAAACAAGCGAATGAGCCAATTGGAGTAAAGTGCCATGCAGATTTAAATTTTTCCCACTTGTGACGAATGCAGCTATCGATGTTTTGTTTTTTTTGCATGCTAGTTAACATTTGTGTCAGTCAGCTGTTGGCTCTCATGCTGGCCAATAGAATCTTCCTGCCTATTCGTGACAGCCAACTATAGTCTCTCTCTCTCTCTCTCTCTCTCCCTGGCCAGTACAAAATGGCCGCAGACTACATGAAAACTGCCGTAGAAGCATGAAAAATCGATTATTTCCACTAGCGATGGGAGTTGGCAAATACAAAGTCAGTCTTGGCGTTCCCGCTAACTTGGAGCATGTGTATGTAAATTTTTGTGCAAATCCGTCGAAAATTGCGGCCGTGCATTCGTTACACACACACACACATCCTGCCTTTTATAGATAGAGATATAATTGGATTTCCAAGAAACCTGTAAACACAAGAACAATGCACATACATGATACTTACTAGACTTCGCTTAATGAAACCAGAATTATGCTTGGAAATTTAAAGAGTTTAAAATCAGGAAACTGCTAACATTTTTATGAGGAAAGATGGCCTGTAAAAGTATATACTCCTTGAGGGGCAAGAGAAACAACGATTAACCTACCTATAACCTACCTAATCAGTTTGTGCAGATCGGTGGCAGAATATGGAAAGAAAATCATATTTTTCTTGGACCTCCGTGGGATTGGAAATTATGTAGTTATGTTTGCCTAAGACATTAAGGTGTACGCCATGTAAAAGAAATTTATAAAAACAATGATGAAAACTAAAACATCCACAAAAATGACACTTCAGAATAGCTCTTTTATTTAACACGTCGAACAATCTAGGAGTTACTATTGTATACCCATAACTTTAGGGAGTTTGTAAACATCATCAAATTAAAATTAACCAATAAACTGCTACTAGGCAAATTATTTCCACAGTTGAACATCATTATTTAATTATGCAGTTTTAGGCAAAGTTGTTTACGACTTCATAGAGATTTTCTCTGTCTGTGTCTCTCTATATATAGTCTGGTTATACGTTATTTTTATAGATTCAATTCATTTAAGTAGATGGCCTGATTTTTTTTTTAATTAAATAGTATTAATTATATTTACCAGTCTGAATGTTCAAGAAATTTTGTCGAAAACGCATGTTTTCGACAAAATTTCAAGCTGTATGCCTATACGAAATTCCTCGAACCGGTCAATGTAATAAATACTGTTTAATTAAAAACAAAACAAAAACAGAGTATTTACTTAAATAAATTGCATCTTTAAAAATAACAGAAAATGCATGAAATAATTGTTGGATTTAATCCATTTCATTATATATATATATATATATATATATATATATATATATATATATATATATATATATCACATAAAGCGCTAGTGTTAATAGAACAGTGCCCAATGTAATATAACAGAGCT